AGTAGGCACTTGTAGTCACTTTCCTGTTGCGTATAATAATTGGTTTTCACTCGCAAAGAACAATTTACATATTGAGCCAAAATAACAATGACAATCCCATACATGTATGCAAGTATTCACACATATATATACATACATATCTCCACTGTATATTATAAGCGCACGTACTATGCGCGGTAGACGGTACAGTAGAAAGCCATGCGCAGTATACAAATTTAATAGACTATCCATGGTACAGAAAAATCCTGTACCAAAGCTATTGAAAAACTTGTACTAGTATAGTTATAAAACCGACTAGTCTAAGGTTTTTCGGTGATCCAGATTAGTGTGTCAAAATGTGAGACTGGTTGCAGAAATCTAAAGACCTGTACGTTATTTTTCTATGCTCATCACTTTGGGTATAGCTTATTCTGGTAACAACAATCTTCCGTGCGGACGGAAAACGATGGATTGTTAGAAAGTAGAAGTGTAAAAAAAAGTTTCTGCAGCTCCTCGTTTGATGTTTTTTGTTTTAGGTCATTTTTTTCGATTTTGTTGGAATCATCTGATACGTGTGGTCGTCTTTTCCATGCATACGAGCTAATTTGGAGTTGATGTTAAAGAGAAAAAGTGTTCAACAAAAAATATGAAATTTATGGTTTATTTTATTCTTTTAAGTAAGTGTACAATAATTCACCAATAATGAAAAGATTTTTTTTTAACTTTGAGTAACAATAAAGCATCAACTTCCACCATAATGATAATATTGTCGTTGAGTGATGTAATTTTGTGGTTATTAAATTGAAACTGAAACACAGGAACATCAGGCATACCTAGTAGTCAACGTACCATCATCATAACAAACTCGATGTAATGACTTGCCGTTACTCTTGTTTTGAGGCCAACAACGCAACTAATACACGTATACGTTGAGAGCCTGTTGCACTAAAACTCCATGGAACTTTTTTCGTGTACTAAATTGAGTGACTACTGCAAACTATTTCCGTATTGACGTGCACGTGACTCGTGAGAGTGCCATTTTTGGCTAATATTTTGGGACATGTTGGCTATTATCTGTCTGTACATTGAATACATTACGTTTGTTGATTGTATCGTTGAAAAAGACAATTCATATTTCTACTATTTTACAACTGTATTGTGCCAAAGATTACCTCGTTGGATTAGACTTTGGAACGATTCAAGGAACAGTATGACAAATCGAGCAAGGAAATACACCACCGTGGTAACCTCATCCTTGTGACTCTCAGATTTTACGTAACAGTTATTAGTTCTTTTTCTTAAGAACATTTGTATCAAGGTTTGTTGTAAACGTATGATGATGGTATGACTCAGATACGTCAGGGTTTGAGTATGGGAAATACATCCATAAATTGCTCTTTTGGAGTCAGATATCGATTGTCACCAAAATATGTTATCTATGGCACATTGTCTCGATTTCAAACGAAAAGAAGAAATTGCCTAATACATACGAACTAAACCACGATTCTGTAATCCAATGCTTTAGGCTATAATGAAATGAATGAGTTTATTATCGTGTCCGTCGTATGGATCAAATTTTTCCTCCATGACACTCGAATTTCTTATTTTTTATTTTTACTTGAAGTACACTATATACAGGTGGAACTTTAAGTAATGTAATACAAGTGAAGATTTTTTTTTTTTTTTTTTGAGTGACATTTATAAAACAAAAAAAAATTAATGATCATAAAATGACAGTAATCCTTGGCCTTTAGATTCTAAGATGCCATTTTTTTTTACATAATGGACATAAAACTGTGTTCGTGTACAAGCTGTTACATAAAACATTTTATTTTAACAATACGATTATCCAATTTATTTTTTTTTGGCACGAAAATTTCTTCATATTTAAATTCTTCTTTAAAGTCATCACTTCATTGTTATAACTATCAAGTACAATGCAGATCCATGGTAGGCCGATTAAGAAGTTGTGGAAAAAAAATCTAAAGCTATGTGTATGAGTGACGTAAAATTGTGCTTTTATGATACTACTTCAGCGTTCATAACATTTTGTTTGGTATTAGTTTTAAATTAACAATGCAGTATAATTGGATTTAGAAAATCGTAATGAAAATCAATGTTTTTTACTAAAAATAACTTAGGTGTGAAAGGGAATAACGTAGGACGAGGGAAACAGACCCTTTCTGGAGCCGATTAACCCACGCCACCAGGTATCATTCGCGCGTTCGATGACGGTGATGATTTCCCCTCGCTTGAATTCGAGCTCTCCGAGCTCTTGAGGCGTGAAGTCGTACTTGGCCTGGACGAAGCACTACGTAGATGAACAAAAAATATTTTCTCAATTATCCTGTTATTAAAAATTATGTATGTGCTTTCGAATGTTTATATTAACGTGGCTGTGAACACGATAGCTAAGGACGTGGTTCTTTGGGTCGGCGTGTGTTTTTGAACTGCTAGTTAATAATCTGCTTCAATCAAATTTTTTTGCCAAAATAATTAACAACTAATGATGTTTACAATAAACTACATATGAGAAAAACTAATAACTTGGATTTTTTTGATATTTTAGTTATTGAGTGGTATTTGATCTGCGAGGAATTTTTGTTTTGGGTGATTATTCTGATTCTCAATGTCATGATTGCTCTTAGATAAATGAGTAAGTTGAATCTTGCAAAGCCACGAATCCATATTTTTGGCTGTTTATTAAACTAGAGTAATACAAAGGAAATCAATGTTGAATAGAAGGACAATGATATTCAAAATTTTTTTTAATTTTGTTGTGGACGTTTTTACTGTTTATAGACAGTCCTTTTTAAGTCACTAAATTTAACGAAAATAAATAAAATTATAATCGCAACACCCTTAATAGATTATTTTTTCTTAGACAATAAAAGAACGTTAAACTTACAAAACAGAAAAATATTATCGCTGATCATTTGTATAATACCGTGTTTGCGTGTTATCCATGTAATTATACCCTAGCACTACCTGTATAGCTTTAATATGAATTTGTTAGTACAAGTAAGATTTATTAATTAAAAGTTTAAAATACATCGTAAATATTTACCTGCGTCTGTGTATGTGTCTGCAGGAAATGTATTCGCTTTGAGCGCAATTCCGAAATCGCGCCCCCCACTGGAGTCTTTGAGAACGATTGGTCATCATTAGAAAAGGTAATTATTATAAAATCGAGCTTCCGGCTCCATTCACCAGGTGGCCAACCCATAAATGTCGCTTTTCTACAAGCATGTGAAAATCAATTCACAGTACTGTCCTTTTCTAATCACGACCAATCGTTCCCAAAGTGCCCAGTGGGGCGCGATTTCAAAATTGCGCTCAAAGTAAATACGCTAGTAATTAATTACTTTCAGAACTCCTGGACTAATTTCGTGCATTTAAGGTGGCTTGGGCGGTTGGTACCGTACCTATGGTAAGGTGCCATAAGGGCTCCTAAAAAATCAGCGCTTTTTGTCGGTAAATTTTTCAATAAATATAGTTATTTTGATAAAACCAAAGTACAAAATCAAGAAATTGCCAGAATAGTACCGTGAAATTATAATTGTGAAAATTGGAGATGTTGCGAGGCAAGCCAATTTGGCATACTTTATATCCATAATTCCAGAATTTTAGAGGTTTTGATCAAGCCGATAAAAATCGCCCAAGTCACCGTAAGGTATACCTTTTAACATAGTTCTACCTCTTCATACACAACCAGTGGATGGGTTGTGATTTGTATTTTTGTCAGAGCAAAAAATGTAACCACTTATAAAATATTTAACGATATAAAACGAATTTTGAAACTATGGGGGTGATTTAAGTTGTTCTTATGATCACAATAAAATACAACTTTTTGTATCATTACTCTGTTATGCAATGCAAATACTCCATAATGCAAAGTAGATACGAAAATAGTAATAATTTGTTTTTTGCATACAAAAGACAGGAACTGAAGCTTGACCATCAAGTAATAAATACAAAAGTTATCGAGCTCAATGGGATAAAACTTCTTTTTAAGTAAGTTTTTTTACAGTGCTGGACAGTGTCCTATTTTGTTTTTCCTAAAAAAATTAATAACTTTTGAAGAACATAACACATCGCAATAATTCTTTTTTTTTTTAATTGAAGATAACTGTAGATACGATAGTAGAAAAACATAAAAAATCTGATTAAAAAATTTTCCAGGCTGGAAAATTTGTGGAAACACTAATTTTTAAAAAATCTAGTGTTTGAGCAGTGCAGTTTTGTAACCTAAGGTTTATCAAGTATGTCATTTATTTAAACTATTAATAGTTTCACAGAACGTTGTGAAATATTTAAATTAATACTATTTATACACATAAATAAATAACTAGAAAAACATGCAGTTATGTATACTACTCCTCATAAGTTATGGATGTTGCATAGGCCTCTTTTTTGAAAAATGTATTTCAGCTGTAAATAAAGTAGAACTATTACATAATCACGTGTGACAAAATAAATAAAATATCTGCATAGAAATTTTAAAAACTAGTTATGAAAAAAGACTTTTTAATATTAAAAAAAATCTTGATTGCGCAAATTTTTTTTTTACCATAGGAAAGTTAATCCAGTAGTTGATTANACTTTGCTCAGTGATAATATTTTTCGATCTTGTAAGTTTTACGAAATTTTATTGTCTAAAAAAAAATTAGCAATTAAGGATGTTAGATTGCAATATTATTGGTTTTCGTCGAAGCTAGTGTCGTCAACACTAAAGTAAAAAAAAAATTTGATCAGCATTGCCCTGCAATTCAATATTGTTTTCCTCTACATTTCATCGCTGTTCTTGGAATCTTTTCAATCTATCTAGAGTAATGCATTTTATAAAAAAAAAGAAAAAATAGCGATTAACTGTAACTACGCTTACATTATCCTGCTATTGCTAATTTGGTAATCTGTTAAGTAAGTGTAGGTGCAAGTGAGAGCTTATGTTTTATGGTTTTGAGTGAAGTTCGTGATAGACAACTTTAGTCCATTTTCTAAAATAATGAAAAACTATTACCTTGTTGTTCGTACGGGGATGGTCATAGTAGATGACAGAATAAAAAAAAAGACAATCACCTCTTTCCATACTATCTCGAGCAATTTGAGGTCACACTTCAGCGAAATGGAGGTCCTTTTATAGTAGTCGATGAGATCGATGATGTTGCTAAACTTCTTGTCCCACAGGAAAAACTTCCCTTGCGCGTCACGCAGGACTATGAAGTGTTGCACTGTATCCAAATGCCTAAAAACGTTGACGAATTACAAACGAAAAGGAAAAAGCCACGATTTATTTCCGCACATTTTATTATGTTCAAATAATAAAACTCTCGTCGTGATGGTTGTGTAATTCGAGATCAAAGTTAATGCCTAATAAGTTTTGACGTTTAATGTATCGTAACTCACTTGACGGACAAGGCAAACCCGCTGGGATAACTTTCGCTGATCCTGACGAGGAAAGCGCCCTGACTTTTGTTGGATAGTAGCTTCTCGGCGTTTACTCTGGTCATTTCTCCGTAGTACCAACTGCAAAAGATAGGTAAAAAAAAAATTTATGTGAATCCCGCAGAGTTAGGTATGTGTGTTTGCCAACCATTGTTCCTTTTTTCAGCTAATTTGCGAAGTGATGATGATAATCTTGACTTATGTGATAAAGACTTATTGAAAGTTAAATAACTATAGTACAGTTGTTACTTTTGTGCGCTAATAAAGATAATGGAATAAAGTCAAAATTGTTGTAATCGCAACTTTGAGCCCATTTTCATTCTTACTCCAAAAATTTAATGTATCATTTCTCTATCAATTCCGTATCATAGAAAAAAAAAAATTTTATGGATCATTTTTCCGTAGATGCAATTTTAAGCGATTCTTCCACGAGGTCATTTTAACTCTGAGAAATTAAAACAAGCTTTTCTGATATAACTTTTTAAGGTGGTATTTTTGGTCCATACACAGTAGAGAAGTATGTAGATCTCAAGAAAAACTAAACTTTTGACTGTTTTTTAGCTATATCTTCAAAAATCAAAAACTTACACATTCGGATTGAACGGAAAGCTGTGAATCTTAAAAAAAGTTAATCTTTTAAATATTTTTATTTAATTTTTCAGAGAAATACTGATACTTAAAAAATTGAACAAAACATTGGAAAACATTGAAACAATTAATTCTTTTGCTACACTTTTTATAGTTTTTATGGTGATCTTTCACATAGTTTCAAGAGATTCGTTCACAAGACATACTAATTTTTACAGTGACTGTTTAATGATTGGGTGTGATTTGATTTTAAATATTTCAACCAACGGATACTGACTAATTTATTTTGAAAAAGTCGATTAACATTTGTGGTTGGCAATATAATTATTACCTTATAAGTAAGTTAATATACAGTGATTTTTATAATTTTTGTGATTACAACAATCTCTGTACTTGATTTTATGTACTTGATTGTAGTAAAATAGAAAAAGTTGCCAATTTTTGTGCCATTATTTTCATTTAACTGACATCCCTTTTTTAAAAAAAATTATAACACTCACTCAAATGGATTTAACTCAGTGCAGGTTCTGGAAGTGAGTCCATCTTGGTAATTAACCTCCGAGTGGTAGCTCATGTCGTATTCTATCAAAAGAGTCTATAACAAAAATTCAACATGTTTTTACTTTTCGTTTGGAGATTAGAATTTGTAATTGGCTGAAAATATTAACTTCACGATCGACAATCCTCAATAACTTGTGTACGTCGCAAAATAAAAAAAAAGCACTTATTATTATTATTCAAAGCTCATTGGAGTTCAAAAAGCAGCCAATTAAGATTCACAAGAAAATATCTAGTTCAGATATGGCTGAAGAAGCAGCCACTTTATTCTAATGAGTTTAAAAAAAAACAGCCCATTTACGTTCGTTAGAAAGTAATGGCTGATCAAAGCATATACTGGAAACGCCATTTGATTCAGATTTATGTTAAAAAACCAGTTCTGATGTACCTGACCAAAGTAGGTAGCAGAGGTATAGGTTAAAAAATCAGATTTTTCCCTCCATTAAATTTTGTTGTGCTAGGTTACTTGTGAGCATAATGTGGATTTAATATTTTTGCTTATAGACTTACACTTACTGTTACTAAATTAGAGAAAAAATTTACTCATCAGTCGATGTTTCTTTAACCAAAATTATAATTGGGTGTTTTTTACCAGCCATGCTGAGCTTTATAAAGTTTTTTTAACTGCTTTACGTACTAAAAAATACAAAATATAAATTCAATTCTAAAAATACTTTTTGTACTTAAGCCTCACTAGTTGCACTCTGCTCGTATTCTCGTTCGCTTAACGTGCCAATACGGGTGCTCGTAATAATTAAATCTCAATTTTCTCGACTCGGTGCATAAACTGGTATAGGTGTTTATAAAAAACAAAGAAAAAAACAACCTGTAGCTTTATATGTTATTCGACTAAATGTGGTAATGTGCTTAAAAATGACTGCACAGTAGCTCTCTCATTTACAACTATATGCGTGAGCATACGTTCACACACACCAGAGTCGCGTTAATGTTGAAGATGATTGAATACTGGACTGATTCTATGTAAGTGCCATTACGATGTATCGGGTGGATGATTGACGTGACATATACCTAACCTGTTAACATATGATTCTAATAAATATTTTCTGAGCAAAATATATCTATCACTTTGAAACACCAAATTAAATGAGTTAAAAAAAAACACACACACAAAAGGACTATATTTAAACTTATTTAACCAGTGGTTAGAAACAGAAAAAAAAAGATTAGTGAAGCCAGTCAACTAGTTCATTAAAAATTGATTTGGTTATTTCTCAAAAGCCTCTTAGCGCTAATGTAACAGTTTTCTAAAAAATTGGTTTCAACTACAATTGCACGTTTTAAATACTTTTTCATGCTATCTCTAACTACCAATGGTCATCTATTAGATGTGTAGGTGTGAGATGGTGAGGGTTTTCCTTGTCGATAAAGAAAACTGTTAAAAAATTTTTGCTGCTTCATACTTGTCGCGGTAACGAATAATAGCGTAGAAAATTATCTTTGGACGTGTTATTTACTACAGTTTTAGACCCGTAGATCGTGACAGAAAAACTGGACTAATTTTTTACAGTATGCTATTTTGAGTGCTTCATAGGTTGGTCACCAAAAGAAGGACAGGTCTATCAATTAAGTATAAGCCTATAGAAGTATCACGTTGATTCACTTTATTTTGGTTATAAATAATTCTCAAAATAAAACATACTGAAAACAAAACAGTCAAATCTGTCCCTCCGACTTCTTGGTCTTTGGCTTTTTTCAAAAAGGTTTTTTGTTTTTTAATACTATTCGGTTCATGAAATTAATTGCAGATACTTTGTGAAAAATAGAAAGACAAAAAATTACCTCTTGGGACTTTATGCTTTGAAATTTAACGCCACGTGAGGACATCGAAGATCTATGGTACTTGGCAAACTTAACGAACCACAGAAATAACTTTCCCTGGTCATTCTGCATAGCCTTAAAGTGCTGAAGCACCTGCAAAAAAAACAAGCGTTGATAATAAAAAGAGATTTTTTCATGATTTTTGTTTGATAATTTATACAAGGATATTATATGTATAGATGTATTAAAACTGACACTTTTTCTGGATGACTTTTTTAAATTTTTTTATCCCATAAAAGTGATATGTTACCGATTCGTTATATACGAATAATTTTATTTTTATCCACACAAGCTTAAAAAAAAAAAAAAAAAAAAAATTGTTTTCCAAAGAAGTCCATGATAATTATTCATCTCCTCTTTTCTGATAAAAAATTGACTGTTTAGCCATCGTTAAAAAAAAAAATTCATCCCAATTTTATCCAAATATTGGAATTATACGTTAAAACAAAGAGGACAAAAAAAAAAGTAACAGGTTCTCCCTCAAAAACATCTCAGCGACTACTTTCATCAGCTCTTATCAAATGGCGCTCGCGAAATTCAACCGAGTGTACGAGGGCAAGAAAGAAACGAGCCGGGCCGGAAAATTTCGGTGATCTCGCCGCTGAGAGCTGAAAAAAAAAACGAGAAAGGGGGATAAAGAACTTGAAAGAGGGCGGACTTTTTAAAACACGTGCGTACGTGCATGGCAGAAGTTAACTCGAGCATTTTTTTTCGTACCACCCTTTCGGCTTATCTTATTTCTTTTTTTNTCCCATAAAAGTGATATGTTACCGATTCGTTATATACGAATAATTTTATTTTTATCCACACAAGCTTAAAAAAAAAAAAAAAAAAAAAAAAAACAAAAAAAAACAAAAAAAAAACCTAAAAACCAAAAAACACGGTAACTGAGATGTATTTCTAGTATTTGCCTTGTATTTTTAATGTGATTAAAGAAATCAAGTTCTTGTTATAGAATGTTTAGAATATTGAAGGAATGACTCACCTTACTGTATCAATATGCTTAATTATCTAAACAAAAATATTTTTTGTGTTCTTCAAACACTCCCTTTATCAAATTTCTTCGCTGAATTCAATATGATCTTAATTACTTGTTGAAAAAAAATGTCACTAATCAATATTGAAAGCTCTGTTAAAAAATTTACTTTTTGTGTCAGTGGAGTTGGATATTAAAGCAACTTTTTTCAAATAACTAAAGACAGGTATGAATTTTTAGTCGAATAATACTTCACGAATCTCAAGAGGAGACATTTATGTTCTACTCTTCGTTTATAACTACTGAATGCTAAAAAAGCTGACACATTGAAAATTGATAAAATGATTTACGTATATTCGTCGTTTACGGTATGATTGAGCTATTTTAATAGTATAATAATAGTTATTGGCCGGACGTGTGGCTACGTATCTTTTATACAGCTTTTCTGTGTAATATCGGCCTATGACACATTTAACATTATAAAGTTTTGCACGACAAAAGAAAAGCTAATTGAAATGAACAATAGACACTCAAATTTGCTCATAGCATTTGGGACGTACCGAGTACAGTAAAAGAATAATTTTGGCTTGAAGGCTTGCGGAGCGATTTTAGTACATTATTCTAACACCGCATATGAACAATTACTATTTATTATATCGATTTAACTTCCGGTTGCTTATTAGCTGCTGACGATACCGGAGGTAGAGATAACAAATTACTTTTTTCACAATCTAGTAGCTACCAACTGTGTTACGACACAAAATTTTGTATGGGCTGATTTTGCTTTCTGATATAATAATCCATCGTTACTTGTTTTTCCATTCATAGCCATTAGTGATTCCCATTCATGAACTCAATTTCACTTCCGGTTTATCCTTAGCTGCTGACGATACCGGAAGTAGAGATAACAAATTACTTTTTCCAAAACTTTTTAGCTTTGTCAACTATATAGTGACAAAATTTTTTGTGTAGGCGAATTTAGATTCCTAACGAAATTATATCGTCATGTGTTTTTCCATTCATAGTCATGCTTTTCATATGTAACATCATTAACAGATAAAAACAATAAAATAATAAGTACATTACAAATATATCTTAAATAATGATAATGTTGATGAAATTTTATTTAAAATCACAAGGTTATATATTTTGTACACTTTTTTATATTTCGCTCTTCGACGTTGTTTACGTATACATGAGAAAAGGATATTGATAACCCTTTTCATAACGTCTTTTGCTGCTTTGCAAGATTGAGTTCAGTTTGCATGAAAAAAAAAATCGGTCAAAAAAATACTTTTATCGTTCCTAACTATATCGTAAAACTAAAAACCGGAAATTGTGAAAGATGGAATTACTAAACCCGAAATAAAAGCTGTAAATTTCTAAAAGGGTAGAAAGCACATCAGCAGTGGCAACATCAACAGAATCAGCTTGTGGGGTCACAAGTGTTCCACTGATTAGTTTGAATATCGTTGCCATGAGGTGTCTCTAGATTAATCGTGGAAATAATTAATCCACGTCAGGTGGTCCCCGCTATTGTTATTGTCAGTGTCATCATTGTGATTAATGGCCTCATCGTGATTTTTATGAGTCTTAAAGCTTTAGCAGATATCTGCCTAATGAGCATTGTTTGATTGGCACGGCTGTTACCTCCAAAAATCGATAAAGTGGAGAGTAGGATTTAGTAAAATAGGGGTTTTCAATGTAGGAGTTTTAGTATTTGATAATCTGTGAATTTAATTTAGTAAGAAGCACTATTTCATAGTCTACGATCGATAATTTTCTAGAGCACAGAGTATTTTTATAAGGAAATTACTGCTGGTTATTAAACTGCTGATTACTCATTTTACCATCAACATCCAATCCCGATGTGTATTTACCTGCTGGTTCGTGATTTTTTAACTAACTGATGCACACACCCCAAATTAGTGGATTATTCGAGTACTTTATAATCTCAGATATTAATACTAATTATATGTAGTATAGGTCTCAAAAATTTTTTTAAACAAATGAGTTGATGTTTAAATTTTTGAATAGTATTGAAAATTGCCATTTGCAAAATTTTTCCTGTAGCTTACAAAACCAAGCTTACGCCCCTCCTCCTTTTTTCTCGAGCATACGTAAACATGAGCGTAGCCCAAGAAAAAGAAAGACACCCTCCCAACCCAGTAGCCATGAACATTATTATCATTTGCCCGAGATCTCTGTAGCACAGTGCACGATCGTGTGCAGTAGCAGAGCAGCTGCGAGGCTTCCGGCAATTAAGTCCCCTCCGGCTCCTCGTCCGAAATATAAATTCTCCAAGGAGATAGAAAAAGCCAGGGGAGGAATCGGCGCGTAGTTTTTCCGCGCCGTTTGTTCGCGGGAAAATTGCTGGCCCCCTGTACCGAGCCTCTTGCGTGGATTCATCAAGAAACGATGTGAGAAACGGAGGCGTTTAATGACCCTGCTCCCCTTCCGCAGCTGCAGCTTACTTGCATATTCATGCGTTTCGGCTCTCCTTTACCCCCACCGTGTTTTCCGCGTATCTCGATACGACATCGGGCTCTTTTTTTTCTCTCCACCCCTACGTTTTTCTACGAGGTCTCTTTTTCCGGGGTCTCTTTGATTTGGAGGTTGCAGGGAAAAGCGTTGCGAAAATTAAAGCGACACGTGAAATCAGCCCTATAAGGGAGCTTGGCCTTTTTTTTTTGCTTTTGCTCCTTGGGCACTTCCGCAATTGACGTTTGTGTTTTTTTATTGGAGATTTGAGAAAATAAAAGCTCGACTATTAATAGACAAAAACGTAAAAACTTTTTCACAGTTTTTGATTTTTCTTGACACTGATTTTTTTTTGTTTTTTTTTTGAATGTGTGATGCATTAATTTCTTTTTTAGTTTCAACGTGCATGAATTATTGTTTTTTTTTTTTTTTTTTTTTTCAATGCATAGATACAAAAATATGTTTTTATTTGATATCCATACTTTTCTCGAGTAAACTTGTGTGTCAACTGCAAAGGTTATTCGCAAAAGAATGAGTCTTTTTCCATTTTAAAGCACCACTGTTCTAGAGCTAATTAATTGTTTCTTCCTTTGTAAAAGTGTTTAAACGTGCCCAATTTAATGTAAATATTACCAGATAAATGAGATACGTCCGTATACATACAATAAAGTTAACAGCATTAGCTTATTCAGATTTAGTTTGTACTAGATTTAAAATGGGTTTCATACCAAAAACAAGACGATTTATGAAAAAACGTGTTTTTTTCTGCCATGAGTATGAATCATTTTGTAAAGTAGTTACGCCTAATAATCACAGATAAATTTTTTTTCAACGAATAATCAAAACTACATTGTTGAAAGTTACCAAACAACTCTCTCCCTATCACGGCAAACTTTCCGGCTGCGAGGCAAACG